CCAAACTTGATCAAATGGTTCATATGAGCCTATAATGTTGATGTGGATCAAAAATTATGAGGTTTGACTGTAAATTGGCCGTAGTTGACTTTTTCCCCAATATAGTTGATTTTTAGGTCAACTGTCCAATTGACTGGGCAAAAATTTGATTCAAGGCTTGAAATTTGGTATGGGCAATCTTATAAGTCCAACATGAAGTATGAAATTCACATGGGGCATTAGAAGTCCAAAATTCCTTGTGCAAACTCAAACCCTAATTTCAGGTCATTAGTGCAAGGAGGTGTCTTGAGCAGAGCAAACCCTAGCTTGGTCTTGAGTCCAAAGAGTCTTGTGAGGAGAAATCTTGATAAAATGAGAGGGAATATTTTGGGGTACAACAGAGGGATATCTGATCAACACTTTTTTTGACAAAATTTAAAATCTCTTCTTTCTTTGTGGGAGGCAGGCTGCGCATGTAATGTTGTCCTTAGGGTTGCAAATGCTTTGTTATATGTAGTAGAATCAATCTAGGTCATTAGAATTAGAAATAATCTAAGATATAATGGTCATGAATTTTTGACTCCAATCTTTTCACATTTGAAGATTTCCTTTTGTTTTGAGCTTGCACGATTTTGTTCTTCATTTGACAGCTCATGAGATATTCAATCAATGCCAAAACAAATCTTATCCCATTTATTTGATTTATTTTTTATTTAATTTTATTTTATTTGAACTTTAAATAAATAAAATCAAAATAAATAAAATAAATAAGTGAATGAGGCATGGAGTGGTTCATGGGTAGTGGACCATATTAGGAGTGTGTTGCAAGCATAAAAAGATAGGCCCATTTGAAGAAAAATGCATTTTTGGGCATGGTTGACTTTGTGCAAATTTCCAAAAATGGCCAACTTTGACAATGTGTATCTTTCTCAATTTTGACCCTAAGAGGGTGTTCTTAGACTTTTTAGAAATCTTAGGATGTCCCCTAAGCAACCTCTTTGGTTTCATCTCAATTGGATCTTCCATGTTCATGTAAGAATCTTTGACCCAAAAGTTGTTTTTGTTGGCTTTTGACAAGGACCTATAACGTATGACTGCATAACACATCTGGAGAATGATACGAAGTGCTCACCAGCCACTTTCCAAATTCAAATATGTGATTTCTTTTAATTTTAAACCACAACTTGGTTATTTATTGGACTGAGAGGGTATTTTTGAGAGAGCCATCCACTCATGACACAGAAGAATCTGATGTACCTAAAGATTATCACAGGAAAACATCTTCAATGTAATACTTGTCTTTTAAGAAACTTGAAGACTTCAGATTATCTAATTGTTGACATATTTCTTCACTTATAATGCACAATCCTTCGAAAGAAGTAGTCATATCATCATGATATCAAAATTCTTCATTAGAAGCTCTAGATCGGGCTTTGAAGATCCAACAATAGGATTACAACCTTGAAAGAAACCCCTTTGAAGCAAATATCAGAGCAGATGTTATAGAAACTTGGGCTTAACCTTCTATCCACTCTTTATAGTACTTGGTTGAAATTATCTTCCAAGTAACACAATATCATAAGATAACCCTTCAGTAGAAACTAGATCACCATGCTCTCCCCTTTATCTTACACCCAGCTAGTGATGACTTGAACTTCTACAAACGCTAACACCTTCAAGTCAACTATCTTGATAAGAGACAAAATAATCTTTCAACCAACTTATCTTCTAAGAACTCTTCTTCTAAAGTGCTGAAGGAATTTGATATAACCAGAGATTTCATGAGAGGTCATGAATCACTTTCATTATCTTTCTTCTTCAAGCAAATAACTCAAGCTATTATGGCTTCCAAGAATAATCCTTTCTTTTAGAAATAATACCAGAAGTACACACTATGAGCCAACATAGTTCTTCCATCAGAGGCATGTGCAGCAGAAGATAAATTAAAAACATCCTCAACATATTCCAGGAAATATGTCATAACATCTTGTAGGACATAATGCACAGACAACCATCAGTAGTTGCCACCACAAGACAACCATCAGGAGTTGTCACATTAACATTACAACCATCAGTAGTTGTAACATAAAGACAACCATCAGTAGTTGTCAATAGCAACAGAAGCATAAACAACTACCATCAGTAGTAGCAGCAGTGGATCAATACACATCATCAACCAGACCATCAAACAACCATCAGTAGTTGTTTCTTGATTCCAAGAAGGCCATCATCCTAACCTTCCAATAGCCAAATAGTACCAGAAATATCCTTGAAGCTCACCCAATGACAGACAGGGTTCCTGCTCTGATGCCAATTAAAATTCTAGCACAAATGGAATATGGAAGAATTGAAATTACAATCATCAGTAGTACATGATGGAAGAACATGATGTCGTGACTAATGTTACAACATCTTCACGCAGATTGTACAACAATACCAAACTGATAAATTTTGTTGTAAAACTCTTGAAGCATGAATTCATTGCCATTTTCAGATATTTTGCATTTGATCATGACATTGAATTGAGTATTAACAATTGAGAGAAAATAATTAATGAGATTATAAGTTTCAGATTTTAATCTCATGAGGAATATCCAAGTAAACATGTTTTTGTCATTACCTAGAGTCGTAAAATATTTGAATCCCATCATGGATGGTACAAATAGAAATCCCCAAATATCCTTATGAACTAAGTAAAAGACACTATTATATGTATAATAACTTTAAGAGAGCCCCAAACACACGACTAAAATAATCAAAGCCCCACAGAGCCAACACGTATTGATTAGTGTATTTTAATACACCATCTTTTACTTTGAGTTAAGACAATTCTATGACTTCTCGCGTTGGAAATTCTGGCGCAAATGGAATATGGCAGAACTGATGTTACAATCATCAGTAGTACATGAAGTCGTGATGACAGAACTTGATGTTGTGACTGATGTTACAACGTCTTCACGCAGACTGTACAACAATATTAAACTGATAAATTTTGCAAAAATATAAACCTATAATGATAAAGAACACAGTTGAATTGTTAACCCAGTTTGATGCAACTCACTTACTCTAAGGGCTACCAAGCTAGGAAGGAAATTCACTATCAGTAGTACTAGTTCAAAGCTAAACTCCCTGAATTACAACTTATCACCTAATCCCTACCCAATGCAACTTCTACTTAGGTCCTCTCTAGATATGAGAAATCGTCATCCCACTTCCAATCACTGCAGTGATAAAAACTCCCAATCACAGGGAAAACAATTCTAGTCCCAAGAACTATTAGGAAGTACACAATCCCCAATTACAACCAAAAGGGACAATCCCAATCCCAAAAACTTCCAAGAAGAACATACTTCCCAATTATAAATACATAGTTAAGACTCTTAACTACAAACAATATACGAGTTATTTAAAAGATTTCACCAAGAACAATACTCACTCTTGCTTCACAGCTTTGAGGAGAACAATACTCAACTCATTACCTAAAGTTTCTGAGTGAGAACAAACGTCTACCATAAGTATCAAAAGACACAAGGATGACTTACAGTCACAAGAGCACACACGACTCTCAAAATGGAAAACCCTTATTCTAAAACCAAAAAGAACTAACTAGAAGTACTTATGCCCTAGGTCTTGGTCTTCCTTTTATAAGCTCCAGTTGCCCATGGGCTTCGAAGTCTTTGCCCGATTCTTCCTTAATCCATGCGCTGATTGCTGTAGGGAATATTTCCTAAAATTTTAGAACAAATCTTAAAGTATTATGACAGTTGATGCATATATTATAACATCTTGCACAACATCAGTAGAATCATGTTTTAGAAAAATTATTGTCAATCCTAAAACTATGGAACTAACAACGTTATTTTAATTACTTTTAATATGTTTTTGAAGTTAAGTTTAAATTTGCTTTGATTTTATTTATGTTGCTTATTTATGTTGCTTATTTTTGAAATAAATTATAGTTCGATACCCTCTCATACCTTTTCATTGTGCAGATAATAACTTTAGCTAAGAGAATTTGATTGATATGTTCTAATATGCGTCGGAAAGCTAAGACAAAACGCTACAAATTTATTTTTTTATGTAAGAAGCCAATTTAGAGTGAAGAGGATTCAAATGATTAGTTTTTTCCAAACTAAATTAAAATAGTTAGTTTTGGGTCCGCTTATGTTTTTTGAACTTGGTGCTCTTAGAGCCCAATTTTGTTAATTATTTAAGATCAACTCAGAATTAAGGAAAGTTAGACACTATTTTATAAATTAGAAAGAGCATTACGATTACATGGTCGGCAAAACTCCTAGGTTAATCTATTGTTATGGAATTTCATCGAGACTTTGGGGTATGTTTGAATTTGTGGTATGAGATAGAATAGAATGAAATGGAGTGGTAATTAATGAGATTCCGTTATTTGGATTTGTAAATAATAGATGAAATGAAATGAAACATGATGAAATCCATTCCATCCAATAACCTATTTTTTGTTGGCAAAATACTCATTTTGATTCATTAATTATATCTCAGTTTGGTGCTTTAATTTTTTTCCGTACCAAATTGGTCCTTTAAATTTTTAATAGATGCGAATGAGTCTCTTCTATCTAATCTGTTAGTCAAAATCTGTTAAAAATCTATGTGGCAGTGACATGTGGATATGACCAACTCTTGTGACGAATTTAGCATTGGAAAAAGACACTAAAAATTATTTCTAAATTTTAATTATGATTGTTCATTTTCATTCCCAAATTTTTAAATACATGTCCATCGAAATCTAGAACAAATTCATAAACAAAACTGAAATAAAATCTCAGAAAATGGACGTGTAATCATACGAGAACATTAGTTAATATTTAATATAATAAAAACACAAAAACTAAAATGTTTTGAAGGGATATACAGTAAGAAGCCATGGAATTTTAATAGACAAGAATTTAAGCCATCACATTGCTTTGCTGTGTGATTTTCAAAATACTTATCATAACTCTGAACCCCTCAAGATCCTAATAGAAGGTGCGATAACTGAAACAAAAATGAGATCTGAGAATTCTGAAATTCATGGAATCCAAACTCAAGCCTCTCTCTCATCAATGGTAACTTCATCTAACCCTAATTATTTTTCTTTTCGGTAATTTCCAAACCCTAATTTTTCGGTAACAACAGAGAAGAAATACGATTTGTTAAACGTCGATTCTGACAAATTCGATTCGATTCTGAGTGAGTTTGATAAGTTACACGATCAAGTTAAGAAGCCTCGAGATAAAAGTTGCTGACGCTGAGGCGCTACTCGATTTCCCTCGTAGTTTGGTTGGATCTGTTAAGTCTCTTATGAATGAAGGTGCTACTCATTCTCAGTTTGTTTCTTCGTTGATTCAACGTTATGCTCCTTCGCCCAATAGTTCTGTTGATTGGCAAAAACTCTTCAATTTTTCTCACAGTTCATGGATATTCCACCATGTTTGTTTGTTTCTTAGTTAATGTTGTTTTTTTTACTTTGAAATGTATGTTTGTATCTTACAGTTTTTTTTGTCATTTCTTTGAAGGCTTGGTCCCATGGAAAATCAGTTGAAACAGCGCAACACGACAATGTCTAGGAATTGTAAAGTTATCATCCAAGTATATTGGGTGAGATACAATTTACAAATCTCAAAACATAAACAAAATGCTGGGTTTCATTTATGTGTTTGGATTGTTTGGATTTGGTATATTCGTAAATTCGATATAAGAGTTGGTCAAATCCACTTGTCACTGCTACGTGGATTTTTAATAGATTTTGATTAATGGAGTAGACGGAAGAGACTTATATGCATCTATTAAAAAGTTAAAGGATCAATTTGGCACGAAAAAAAATTAAGGGATCAAACTAAATTTAGGGGTATAGTTAAGGGACTAAAATGAGTATTTTGTCTTTTTTTTTTAATTTCATTCAATTTGGTTTTTATGTGATGGAATGAGATATGTTTAATAAATAACCAAACAATATAGTTAGATCTATATTCCATTCTGCTCCGCTATATTTCATTCAGCTCTACTATGTTGTATTCCATCAATCCTAACATAGCCTTGAGATTATTTTATTATCTAGTTTTTATTTAATTCCTTTCAATTATTCTTTTTGTGCCTTGTTTTCTTAATTCGAGTTTCAAAGAATATGATTGATTAAATTTGATCGATGCATGTTGTTGCACCTCAAAATTTACCCTCTTGATTTTGGCTTATGTTTTATCATGAATATCATATTGCATTGCATTCATACATTGTGATGAGATCAAAGTACTTTGGTTATCAAGTCTTCCTCAAGCTTTGAAAGTTTGATTGCATTGACAAGTTGCTCAAGTAGAATCTTATCATCTGAACCTCTGGATCTTTCAAGCTCAAGTTATTGCATATCTCAAGATATTCTATCCATCTCTTTGGATCATCAGAGGATTGAAGTTTGTGTTTGATTATAAGAGGAATCACTCTTTTGATTCACCAGTCAAATTAGGGTTTTGTTTGATTAAGGCTATTGATGCATGAGCAAGTATTGATTTTGGAGCTACAACATCTCTTTGATATTTGAAAATTCTTTGTACAAGAAATTGGTCAAGATGCCCAGAGGATTTGAAATTTTGGAGGTGATTCATCAGTCTCCTAAGGTGTTGACCAAAACTAGGGTTTGGGATTTCATCAAGTTTTCTTGAGAATTTTGAAGTGAAACTTTGCACATGGCCTCTATATGTTTGGAAGATCATATGTTTGAATTTTTTATCATCAATTTTAAAGGGAAGTGGATCAATTGATTCAAAGGGGCAAAATGGTCATTTTGGTCAAAATCAGTCAAAGTCAAGGTTGACCAAGTGAACTTTTGGTCAACCATCAATTCAAGGGTGTAATTTTAATATTTCAAGTCCATTTTTATCATTGGATCAAAAGGATTGAGGTTTGGGTTGAAACTTGTTCATGAAGAAACCCTAAAAATTTCTAATTTTGGAAAATGAGGACTTAACTTCAAAAATTCATATTTTATTCACCTTTGATCAAAAAAATGCAAATGAAGTATGCTTAGAAAGATAAGAGGATGATCTTTCATCTCCTTTTGGTTTCATGTCCAAATTGGCAAAGAGTCAAGTGTTATAAAGCTTGGAAGTCAAAAAATTATAGGTCATTTTCCAAATTTAGTGAATTTAATGTCAAATTTTGAGGACCTTATTGGATTCAATTGCAAAAACTCAAAACTAAGAGATTGTAGATCTTTTCAATACCTTTCCAAATTTTACTCATTTGTGTCCAAATTCAAAAATATGAGCAAGTTATGAGCTTTGGAATTTTGAGGCATTTCATTGAATTTTGTCAAGTATGCAAAATGGCCATTTCTTGCAAACTCAAGTTTTAGCCATTCCTTTTTACTTCTAATCAAGCCCATGAGCAATTTGTGACATGCTGAGGCCCATCACACTCACCATTTCGTGCCTCATTTGGTTTTGCACTTGTTGGATTGAAAAATCACAAAACTTGCTCAAATGTGAAAATTCACCAACACTCTCTCATTTCAAACAATCATGAGCTGGCACTTTGGGCATGTAATTCTGACTTCATTTGGCTCACAAAATGCACAAAAGGCAAGCAAATGCACGAGTGAAACGCAGGCTCCATGTGCATCCTCATTTTTTGCCAAAACTACCAAACTTGCCCTCCAACAGTTTTGAGTGCCAAATACCACTTCTATCCTCTTACCCTCGTGCTATATAACAAGAATCAAGGCTTAGTTGTGAAAAAGGAGGCTCATAATTTCTACATTGCAAATCTAAAAATTTCCAAGCATCTCTGCAAATTGCTTCGAATCTCTCTTCTCCTTGGATCATTCTTCAAAATTCATGGTGATTCAGCTTCAGTGAAGTAAGGAGATCAAGCCTGCACCATTGGATTGCTTCTGGAGTGAAAGAGTCGTCTTTCCAGTTTTCATATCCATGTGAGTTTCTTGAACTTTGATTTATGTGTTTCAGCTTGAATTGATGATGTAAATCATGTTCATTGAGTTGCTAGCTGGCCAATCACTAGGATTGATGTATATTTGAGCTTTGATTCAAGCATAATTTTTGAAATCATGTTCATGACTTTGATGTTTGCAGTGAGTTTTTTTAGTTTTTGAGACTTTATTTCTTGGTCCATGCTTGATCTTTGAGATTGATTCAAATTGCATTATGTAGTATGATATGCTAGCTTTAATTTGCTCTTGATTTCATGGATTTTGGTTTAGAAACGAGCATGATTGATGGATCTGAATATAGGCTCATGATCTGTCGTGTTGCACGCGTTTTTCCCTATGTTGTAGGTTGAAGATGAAGTGAGGTGGCGCACTGTGATTGGCTTGATTCAAATTTTAATGCATTTCATATTATTTGATTTTAATTGAATTTTTTATTTTTATTTCTTGATCAAAAATATTTAAAAAATTCTGAAAAAATTATCACAAGTCCAAAATAATTTCTACTAACTTGAGTAATTTTATTGGAATTTTTAAAAATGTATTGATTGGTTTAAAAATTCATAAGTTTAAATAATTGTTTGTTTAAAGAGTATTTTTATTTTAATAGTTCTTTTGATCTAAAAATTCCACAAAAAATGTTTTGAACTCATAAAATAATATAGAAATTGATTCTTATTTTGTTTTAGCATTTTTTCTATTTTTTATTAGAAATTTAATTTGAGAAGTTTATTTGAAATATTTGTTTCATAATTTTTGTTTTAATACTTCCTTTAATTCAAAAATACTCAAAAAAATCATGCAAGCTTTTTTTTAATCATGGAGTCTAAATATAATTTTATTTTTGACCTTTTTATGAATTTTGGCTAGGGTTTGCATTTTTGTCATTTAATAATAGTTTGATTGTTAATTGTTTGTTTGATTTTTATTTTAATATTTCCTCTAATTCAAAAATTCCACAAAAAATCAGGGATGTGTGTTTTTAATTCTAATATTTGAATATAATTCTGGTTGGATATTTTTATGATTTTTCATTAGAGTTTTATTTTTGAGATGTGATTATTTGTTTAATTGATTAATTGTTTGAATTTGATTTTATTTTTGACTTTTCCTTAATTCAAAAAAATGTGAAAAAATACGTATTCTGACATTTAGCGTTTCCTTGTGGTTTGTATGATCTTGGTTTGAATTGTTTGAATTTTGATCTTACCTAATTAATATTTAAGATTAAAACTCAAACAATTAGGGTTTTGTTGCTTATTGTGCAAGTTTCATTTTTAAAACTATTATGCCCTAGATTTTCAATGCAACTTAGGTCTTGATTATGGTTCATGAATGTATTGAGGATCTGAAAACCATTTTTCTTGAATTATTTGACTTGGTTTGATATTTTTCCACAAAATTATTTTGAAATCTTGACTAGTTTGGTAGTTTGGCCAACTAGTTTTAAACTTTGGGCCTCATTTGATCCCCTCCTCAATCATTCATGAACTTAAGACTTGATTTCTGACTTCTACACACTTAAAAGATGCTAATAATTTTTTGGTTTGAATTATTGATCCTTGTTTCTTTTTTTTAATGTATTTTTGAAGTGAAGGTACCCAATTAATGTTGCATATCTTGTTGCAATTTGTTTGATGGCCAATGAACTTGAGTGAGGCCTATAATTGGGCACCTAATGATCATTTTGGATATTTTCATCCAAATAAACTCAATTAATTTCACCTAATTCCCTATGTTTGAATGATTGAACCTTTTGATGCATTATGTGGGATTTCTCTCCTATTATGCTTGTGAGCTGTGATGAAAATAATTGAGTATAATTGAATTGTGTTTGCTACTGACCTTCATGTTCTTTGATTGTATTCTTATCAAGCTCCCATGATCCTTGATTGATATTCAATTGTCAACTCAACATGGTGATAGAAAGGAGCAACATTCCTCTAATTCTTTTGACATAATTGAGCATATGCCTGTTTCCTTTTGCCTATCATGACTAATGTTTGATAGTTGCTATCATGTTTTCTCATTTCATCATGGTGTCATCATCCATCCCTTATGTGAATCATAATTCTATTTATGGGAATACTAACTTGGTTGTTAAATGTGTGAGGTACTTTGAGGAAAGTTTCCATTTTTGGCTTGAGGCTACTGTGTTTCACTTTATTTGTGGAACACAATTTATTATATTGGCACTACTCTTGTGCTTGGCAATGTTTGATAGTTTATGCAGGATATATGTATATGTGATTATGAATGTCACACATTGCCCATGGGATCTGTTCATATCTGATAATCCCAGTACTTACATCATGATGGCGTAATTTCTGACTTGATTTGTCTGCTGATGCCCAGCTTGCTTGAAGTTCTCTGGGTTTCTTTATTCTTACTCAGTTGCTACGGATAGTTATCCGTTTGGTATTGCACTATTTACTTTCTTCTACTTTCATAGTTCTATGTTGCATGATGGGACCTCTATTGCTGATATATGTCAGAAGGCCCTCTGATTTTTGTCTGATACATGTGTTGTGTTTATTTCTTTAACTGTTGATCGATGAGTCACTCAATTTAGAAATTGAGATCACGACTTCGCTCTCATTGCATGTTCCCTATAGGATGTTTATTGTTTTTCTTCTTAATTGTTGATTGATGAGTCACTCAATTTAGAAATTGAGATCACGACTTCGCTCTCATTGCATGTTCCCTATAGGATATTTATTATTTGTTTCTTTAATTATTGATCGATGAGTCACTCAATTTAGAAATTGAGATCACGACTTCGCTCTCATGGGATGTTCCCTATAGGATAGTGTTGTTAGGCTTCCTTTAACATGTTAATTAAGGTAGGAACCCATGTATGCTAGCATAGGGTAGGATTTCTTTATCCTCAACCTTAGGGACAACCATTATATGATAACACTAGGGATAGAGCTAGGCTAGTTTCCCTTAGTTGTTTTTACTTCCTTTGCATTTTGCATCTTAAAACAAAAATTGTTTTCTTGGCAAATCATAAAACACCCCTAATACACTCAAACCTTCTTCAAGGTAAATGATACAAATCAATATTATTCTTTTGTGTGCCTCTTGGTTTTGTTTTTAAACCCGGTTTGTCGATGTTTCGCCATCGCACATTTGTTTGAAGCCGATGTTTCTCCATCTCACATGTTTATTATCCTACTTTGATTCTCAATATCATTGTTAGGTGTGATGTTTTTCATCCGTTTTATTGATGTTTCGCTATCTTTACCATGATATCTTACTACCTTTTAGCCGATGTTTCGCCATCACACACTTGTTTGAAGCCGATGTTTCGCCATCGCACATGTTTGTTATCCTACTTTGATTCTCAATATCATTGTTAGGTGTGATATTTTGCTATACGTTTCATTGATGTTTCGCCATCTTTGCCATGATATCTTGTTATCTTTTAGCCGATGTTTCATCGTCGCACATGTTTGTTATCCTACTTTGATTCTCAATATCATTGTTAGGTGTGATATTTTGCTATCCGTTTCATTGATGTTTCGCCATCTTTGCCACGATATCTTATTATCTTTTAGCCGATGTTTCGCCATTACACATTTGTTTGAAGCCGATGTTTCTCCATCGCACATGTTTGTTATCCTACTTTGACTCTCAATGTCGTTGTCAGGTGTGATGTTTTATCATTTGATGTTCGCCATCTTTGACATGTTACTATGTTATTATTTAGTCGATGTTTACCATATCATTTGTTTGTTGTCTTATTTGATGTTTTGCCATCTTGATTGTTTTTTTGTTGTCTTAACTAAAAAACACAAACCAACCAAAATATGTAAGCCAAACTACGGTTGCTCTGATTCCTTAAAAGGGATACATAGGCAAAGGGGTAAGGCCCAACCGATCACAACTTTTATTTTCCCTACATTGTTTTCTTTTTATTTCCCATGCATTCCCTTTTTAGTTTTAAGCATAGACATAGGTTTTGACCACACCATTAGATTAGACAACAAGAGTGGATACCGTAGAGTACTACGGGCGTGTGGGTGCTAATACCTTCCCCTCGCGTAACAGACTCCCTTACCCCGATCTCTCGGTCGAAAGACCGTGATTTCTCCTTTTTCAGGTTTTCTCGATGTTTATCTTTCCATTTTGGCGGGATAAAAGACGTTCGTGGCGACTTCATTGATGTTTCATTACATCCAGATGACAGGTTTCAGCGGGTGGTTTCACATGTTCCTTAACTTCAAGTGTTAACTTATCTTATTTGTTAACTTCATCTGATCTTCAACCATCATGCTTAATGCGATAATTAGGAATATAATTCACATGATGTTGATTACGCGTGTCTAATCGAGATTATAATCAAATAGAAATTGAATATGTTTAGGAAATTGGTGATATAATAACCAATGATAAGTCTGAAATTACTGGACCAATAGATTAATTTGCCAATCAGAATTGTAATCGTTTTTATTTATTTTCAATTGACTGAAAACCTAAATCCACCTTTTTCATTTATTTCCTTTGGTTAAATTAACTTAGAGTCTTCGTGATACGACTCGAGTGTCAATTTCTTATGCTGCACTTTATTTACTCATGTGCGATAGTGGATCAAATTGGCACCGTTGTCGACGACTCTCTGTTGACTTTAGCCAATTTTAGAGTTCTAGTTTAGATTTTTGTTAAAGTTATTTTTTGTTTTTTGTTATTGTTTGTTGATATTTAAGGGTTGTAATATGGTAAGTATCTCAGCTTATCAGGTGATTCTGTAAGTTACTGTTTCGAATTGTTCCAAAATTTTTCTTGAAAATTAAGGAAAAAAATCAACAAACAAAGTTCAGACATGATGAATAAGTGACAATGTGTTGCGTATCTTTTTATATGAGCATGTATGAATTATGATGTATGAAGATGTGACATCCTATTATTGATGTTTTGTTTTATGAATTAATTTACTCTATTTTTTGGTTAAATTACCCACGCCGAAATAGGGTGTTACAACCTAACCCTTTGATTTTGGATATTGCGAAAATGAGATCTATATTACACCAGAGGACAATGAGAATACCACTTTCACTTGCATATTTGACACTTTTACCTATAGAAGAATTTTCTTTGATCGTGGAATAAAAAGTGAAGACACGAATAAAATTTCAAAGTCAAAGGACACCGTCTCAAGCTATTCTATGAGAGTCCTATATTGGAAAAGGAAATTGTAGAAGAACTCTCATTAGGAAAGACTACTTATTCAGTCATTTATCCACCTTGACTCCTCTCTCTCTCTCTCTCTCTCTCTCTCTCTCTCTCTCTCTCTCTCTCTCTCTCTCTCTTCTCTCTCTCTCTCCTCTCTCTCTCTCTCTCTCTCTCTCTCTCTCTCTCTCTCTCTCTCTCTCTCTCTCCTCTCTCTCTCTCTCTCTCTCTCTCCTCTCTCTCCTCTCTCTCTCTCTCTCTCTCTCTCTCTCTCTATAATATATATATATATATATATATATATATATATATATATATATATATATATATATATTATATATATATATATATATATATATATATATATATATATATATATATATATATATAAATATATATATATATATATATATATATATATATATAATATATATATAATATATATATATTAATATATCTTCTTTTAACTTGTTTCTTTTATTGAGACAATGTGTGTTTTAAGTGCGGGGAGGAATGTCATTTACTTTTTTTTTGTTTTAAAATATATTAAAAAAATGTTTTTTCGTTGGTTTTTGGGGTTGTATTGTGAAAGTAATTTTTCTCTTCTTTTGATTAAAGATTCACTGTGTGATGTAAGAGGCTTTCTTTGCATTCTTAGTATTATAAGTATGAATTAATTCTAAGTTATGTATCATTTGTGGTAGATCATTATCTTTGGTGAGAAAGTTTGAGCCTTATAATTGAATGACATATAATTTTTCATTCTTATTTTTTTTTTTTGTGATTTCACACATGTTTGCTGGTTACACTAGAATTTGACTTGACTCTTGATAAAACTTTTTGTTTACATGTGCACACTTATATGATAAGGACATTTTGTTTTTGTTTTATTTTTTAGTCACTTAACAAAAAAGATAACCTTGAAATTATCATCATTTGTTTGAAGCCCCTTTGGCCCTATTTATCCCATTTTTTATTTATAACTCATTACAATCTAAAGTGAAAAACAATATTATGATCCTAGTTAAGAGATGAAGGAGTCTTGTTACGAGTTATGTGGAGGTCTAATCAATATAATTTTTCATAATTCAAAATTGGCTAAAAAAAAATAAGGAAGAAAATTAATATTACTATTCCTTTTGGAAAAAAAAAGAGAAAGGAGAAAAAAAAAAGAAAAAAAAAAGAAAAGAGAAGAGAAAATGGATGCAAAGAAGTTGTTGAAAAGTGAATAAAGTGATGATTAGTTCAACTCCTGCAGTTCCTTCCAATTCTATTTTTTCCCTTTAAATTTTAGCTTAGCACCCCTTAGGATTTATCTCACCCTTATCTTGCCATGTTACAAATAGAAAAAAGTCCTTTTGATTTTTTGGGTCATGTATTTCAAGTGTGGATGGTTGAGTCTTTTTAAGCTTATGGTAGTATTAACTTTCATGGTGTGCTTTGAGTGTAAACAGATAACTTAAATACTTGAGAGTGAGAGGATATTTATATCCTATGAGGATATTGCCACGTATGATGTATTCTTTGGCAAATATCAGCTCACACTATCTTGGTAGCTAGCCACTTCATATGCAATGATTAGTCGGTCATACATTGAACTTGAACCAGGTCTTCACTTGGAGATAAGGAAGGGGTATAATCCTTTGGCTAGGAACACTCTTCATATAGGTCCAATAAAACTTCCAACACGACCTTGACGGAAAAATTGTATCCCAGATAAACAAACTCATGGCTGAAAGCAAGATAATATAAACAGGTAAAAATAATGGCAAGTAAAATAATTGAAATACTATTGCATGATAAGATTCATAAAGTTCACTTATTAATTGAATATACACATGTTTGATACAAGCATTCTAGAATAAAAAAGTGTTAACCCACCAAGGAAACCACTTTCTCGTCATCAACGCTCGGTCAAAATGAACTTTCTCTTGAGAGATCGGCTCAATATGATAGAAATTCTTGAGCCGCTTCAAAGAAATTTCAAAAGAGTCCTGAGAAATAGAGTAACTTTCCTCCAATGATTTTACATACTCATTGGACAAAGCAAGGTTCTCAAGACGCATCTCAGGAAAACATTCCTCATATTTCTTCCATCCTTCTTGAGACTCCTTCAAAGGCACCTCAAGATCTTCTATCTTTTTTCGAGTGGGATCCAAGGATTTGTTTACTTCATCATGAGCGGCCTCTGCTATAGATAATGATGTATGAACATAAGATAAATTCCATTTCTTCTTTTTCACCTCCTGAGCAAGCAATTTTACCTGCTCAACTAGAGTGTCAGGATACTCGAAATATATCTCGGTAACTTATATACCTAGAAATGAGGAAGATACTCCTCAGATGTCTTCCAACGTCAATTTAGCTCAATGTTAAGGGTGTAAACTCTCTTTGAGCATACATTTCTCCCTCTGAAGACAGTCAGGTATAATACATCTCTTCACCTAGCAGCTATAGAGGCTAGGACGACAAATACCTGATAATTGTAGTATACCAAATATGCTAATCCCCCTGACGAGATTATTCCGATTTGTTT